CCCTGCAAAGCTATTTCCAGGATTTATGACTCTTTTTTAGGGAGGGTGATAGTTCTCAGTTCCTTTTTCGGGAAGATTGTTGGTTTGATAATATTCCTGTAGCCTCTCACTTCCCTAGTTTTATAATTTGTCCCAGATTAATCATGCCATCACTTCCTCTTCTCTGGAGTATTTCAATGATTCCCTTGCTTAAAACATGTCTTTCTTTTAGAAATCTTAATGACTGAGACGATGATGATATAATATTTTTACTTCGCTTGCTTGATTCCATTACCTTATCTAATGTCAATGGTCGCAGAATTGGTTGATTCTCCCATTGAAACCAATCACAAGTTACGAGGTAATGTTGGTAAGCCAGTTGAAATTGAGAGGTATCAAATATTAATTCAAGGAGTAATCTCATTATGACATACCAAGCCTGATATAAACTGTGTGGTGCGCAAGCATATGCACAACCGTAAGAACTACACCTAATATATAGTTTATCCAAGACACCTTAAATTTGTTTTTAGAAAAGGCCTACTCTTCTCCAAGCACAATCACCTTAGGATTAGGTCAAATATCCTGATACCATATAGGGTTATTGCATATTTGTTGGAGGTAACTGAGTTCACTAAAGGAATAGTTTATGATGACCAGATCTAGTAGAGGCTAACTGTAATAATCAAGAAAGATAATAATCAAGAAAGCCACTAAATATAAGCATCCTCCAGTCCATAAACTCCACTTGGCCACAAAGCCCTTTCTTTCGATACAAAAGATAATAATCAAGAAAGCCACTAAATATAAGCATCCTCCAGTCCATAAACTCCACTTGGCCACAAAGCCCTTTCTTTCGATAGTTTAATTGAGGAAACCCCAACAAACTTTGTCATCTTGTTCTAAAAGTCCAACTTGAAAGAAGGCCCCTGTCATGGTTCCTTTGGTTCCTTTAATAGCTTCATTAACTATCAGGGAAGCACCAACGATTTGCTATCAGGAACAAATGCACTTATTGATTCAAGGAAGTAGTGTCCCCTAAAGCCTCTCTCAATCTCAGGGATAAAACCTAAGTAATGATCTTATAAACACCAGTAAGACCAATAGATCAAAAACCTGCGATTAATAGAGGGATACTCTTTGTATGATAATGACACAAATAACATGTTTTAGAAATAAACTATGAACCAGTCCCGATTAAATTTCCAAATATTTAAACTTAGTAATAAATTGACCCATTTATAGACACAAACCTATATTCAGAACCTGTAATCCCATCTGATGTTACTCCAAACTATTTCCTTAGCCATTCCATATTATATGCCATGAAATTTGCCTAATAGTTTTTCTAGTAGCATGAGCAAATTTATTAATTGTTTTCTACTCAAACAATAATAAGTCATCTAAATAGATATAGCATCTCATAGGTGCAGCAGTTTTTACGGTAAGAGTGCTGATACCCTGAGTTGGCTTTCTCTATGTGGAAGTAAACCAAAACCGAAACATCAAAAGAACCACAAAAAAAGCACTAGTCCCATATGTTTTCCGGTATTTTCTCAGCAAGGAAACAGCAAAGTAATAAATCAGTCTCTTTTTCACTCTTACTAATACCAGTAATAGCTTGCAAAGATGAGAATAATTGAACAAATAATTACTCAAAGTGAAAGAGCCCGAAAGCAAAATAAGATTATCTTCCCAACTTTGGAACACAAACTCGTCAGCAACACAACAAAACGATAGAACCAACCAACCGTTACCCAGAAAAAAAGAACTTAATAGAAAATTAAGAGCAAAAAACTAAACACGATTACTACAAAAAAAAATATAGAAAAGTTCATCAAAAAGCCGATAAGAAAACCGTATCTTGGATTTTCCAAAAAGTAGACTTTGTCTTCATTTATAAAAGAAAATGAAAAAAAAAAAAAAACAGTAGCTGCAAACCTGGCCACCGTGGCTCCAGATCTTGAGCCGCGCCGTGAAATTCCCGGCATGAGAGAAACCAGAGCCGCCAAAAGCATGATCAAGGAAGAATTGGATCTTGGAGTCGGAGTCCGGATCAGAAAACCTCCTGCGGGCCGTGGTAGTAGGAGCGGGAGTAGGTGGAGAACGGGGATGTGAGGGTTCACGGGAGCGAGGGTGCGATCCTTCCAATCCAAACTCTTCGTCGTCCACAAGTAGCTCGTCTGACTGAAAAGCAAAGAGAGAAGACAAGAGCGAGAAGGCGAAAAGAAGAGCAATATGCTTCCTCATTGTTGCTTTCTTCGTTTGGAATACGGAGAGAACCGAGTGTTTCATTGATTCGATGAATAAACTACCAGGTACAGTGCGTAGTGGCCAAACAATGGCAAATTGGTAATTGTATGTTATTTAAAGAAATTTCTATTCTAATTTAGAAAATTAAAATTAAAAAACTACCTATACAAAAATGTCTCTCATTTTTTCACAATTTTTTCAAACTAATTTTTATTATTATTATTATTATTATTATTATAATAAATATCATTATTATTATTTTATGACCTAGTTTGTGCTTAACTAAAACCCAAATTAATCTCTTTTAAAGATTAAGCCTAAACACATGAAGTCAGACTTCTTTAATTTAAAATTTAAACCCAAAAATCTATATAATTAAACCCAAATTAAATCTAATTAAACCCAAAAACATTAGACCCGACTCATTTTAAATTGGCCCAAAATCAGCCCGGCCCAGGCCCAAAAACGTTAAACCCAAAATGCATGATATTCTTGAATTGGGGGCAAAATATGAATGAATTAAAGTTTTTGTTTGGTACATGAAAACTTATGTTCTTAGTAGGTAGAAATTTTCTTTCCAATCTAATCTTATCCATTAATTGAATTAGGAAACTTGTGATTGATGTAGAATTGGTGTTTTTCTTAAGCAAATTCCAACTTTGTCTTTTAATTGAGATAGAAATGAATTCAACAACAACCAAAAAAAAAAAAGGATAATTTAGTTTTGATAAGCTCGCTAATAAGAAATTTATTTATTAACAAAGTTTATTTTATTTTTTATTGAATTATAGCAAATTTAATAATATTTCAAAATGATTTAATAATCAAAATCATAATCTTACCAAATAACATGATCATTTTTTTAATAAAGTTCAAAATACGTTATCTTATCACATTTATAACTGTTATATGTTTTTTGATATAAATTGCTAATTATGAATTATATAGTAAAAAATATTTAATTTTTAAATATAAAAATAAGATATCACGTTCTTGAACGCATTTTAAATAATAATCAATCTTATAATCTATAAATATTTCAAATTACTACGTTAGATTTTGAATGAATTTCACCACAACACGTGCACCATAATTAAGATTTTGAATTGATTTTAGTATTTATACTAAATTAATAATTAGCATGCATCACAGTGCAGATGTTTCACATCTTATTCCATATAATCCCAAAATTTACAATCTCGAAATAAAAATAATTAAATCTTTTATCATCTGACCATACTTCTAATAGGGTTGGTAACATCTCTGAAAGTTATTTAAAATTAAATAATATTTTTTTTCCAAAGTTATCTTAAAGCCTCATATCACCTTAGTTGTGTCAGCTTGGCAATTCTAGTGGGAACAGGTAAATTTTTAATGAGAGAAGACGGATTAAGAGAGAATCAAGCCAGAAAATGGAAGACTTTTAAAGAACCAAACCCCAACTAAAAAGGAAAGATTACATCAAGTCCTAAAGTTTCATTTATTTTCTCTCTAATTTTCTACAATCAATTAAAATCTTCTCTATTAAAAAAAAGTTTCAAAAAATGAAGATCTTATCTAACCTAATTAGTCAAAATGTTCTTAATTTATATTAACTTTTCAATAAAAGTAAGATTTAATTTATACAATTAATTTAGGAGATCTATTTCTTTGTATTATCCACGGTCTTACTCTATAAATATATATTTAATTCCTAGTTATAATCATTCAAGATTGAAATCAATAATAATGTGAGTTTTATTCAAGAGGGGCTTCTTCATCTTTCTTGTTGAGTAAGGAGTAGATCTACTTGTCAATATAATTTTTTATGACATTCTTCCATTGTTTTTTTAATCATTTATTTTCCAATGATCTTAGTTCATATCATTCTTGATAGAGGGTTAAGTAGGGAGGGTTTTCATAAGATCAAATTCCTGGTGTCTTGAATGAAATTATGTGAGTTCTTGATCATGTTGGTTGATATTGGATTCTGAATCATTTGATATTGGAGTTTTGGCTCCATTTAAATCTACTATCTTTTATTTTTATACTTTTAATTTTTTGCACCATTTCTTTTATTCATTTATTCAAAAAAAAAAAGAGTAAGCCTCATGCATGGATCCAAACAAGAAGCAGCAACTTATAGTTCTTTTTATTTGTAGTCCTTATTGAGAATAAATTTTACCACTAATTATTTACTTTCCTAGCAATTTACATTTTCTACATCATAAAAAAAAGAAGAGAAAATAAAGAAAGGAAACCAATAAAAGAAATCTCGATTAAGTAACCTACTAATTGAGAAAATACTTACCTTTTGATGTTCAACATTTCTTTTTACTACGGTGCAAGAATCGAACTTTTTAAATGCAAAATATATATATATACTACTAATCATTCTTTATAATCAATGTGCATTCATACTTACACATGTCATCAAGTGCCAAGACTCCATCTTTATTATAGAGCACAGTGTACAACGAGTATAGATTGGTACGAACTTCTTTTGGATTTTTTCTAAGGGTAGTACTAAATCCCTACATCTTATATAATTATCTTTTCTTGTGCTTTCAGTTTATTTTATTGCTTTAAGATCTAGTTCAATAACATATATAAGCATTTAATTTGCATCTTAGTGCCTAACATCGTACATAACACACTACCTCTTCACCTGTGTGTTAAAACTCTTGCGTCTAGTATTTGTGTGGTATTTATTACATAAAACTGCTTGCAATATCTTGAACAATACTTGAAAATACTTTGATTCAAGAGAGTCTATCTGACATTCAACTTGATGATAAAAGATAGAGCAGTAAAAGGTAAAAGTGGGTGAGATTATCATAAAATAAAAGCCAAAAAATACAAGAGAATTAGTGAGGAATTTTTTTTACTAACCCTTTTATAGATAATCTTCTTAAAATGTCAAGTGAGCATCAAAGTCCCTCCAACATAATGCTCTTTATGGAGACTATGCAGGAAAAATTAACACAGCTTTTTAGAAGGTAGATAAGTTGAGTAGTGGTCGAAGTAAAGTAAGACATGAGACCCTTAATACAATACGACCTAGAACTTAATATCCTAAAGATGAGGTTGGGCCCTGCAATGATGATGAAGAAGACTGGGTTAGAATGAGAGAAGACAAGAGGGACAATAATATCAGCTCAATCAAAATGATCATACCACCATTTATAGTTAAGAATGATGCAGAGGCCTACCTAGAGTGGAAAAGAAAAGTAGAGTTGATATTCGACGGCCACAACTATGGTAAAGAAAAAAAATCAAGCTGACAGCTGTATATTTCACTGATTATGCCCTAGTGTAGTGGAATCAACTAATCCCCACTTGACAACGTAACAAAGAATGATCAGTCTCCACTTGGAGAGAGATGAAGGCCATCATGCGAAAAAAATTCCTACCCTCTTATTATTATAAATAAATATATAAAAAATTATAACGTTTGATGCATGGATCTATGTTTGTTGAGGACAATCACAAGGAGATGGAGATGACCATGATTAGGGCCAATCTTAAAGAAGATTCAAAAGTAACTATGGTAAAATTCTTGGGAGGTGTTAATAAGGAACTTGCCAACATTGTAGAGTTACAACACTACATAGAGTTGAAAGACATGGTGTAACGCTCCTTTTTTTTTTCATGTTGGACGTACTTAACAAGCAACTAATTCCATAACCAAACGGTCATGCACAAGGAAATACTAGTATAATCCATTATCCAATGATCAAGATAATCCTACAATCATGGACAAGACATCGCACACAATACAACCATACTCAATATCTATGCTACCATCAATTCTACATATTCTATTCAGTCAAAACAGAACGAAACTCTTCATCCTGTACTCTACACACTAGGTTCAAAATTCAACAACTTCTATCCAGACTCTGTCCCTACATCATCTGTAAAAAGGAAAGAGTGAGTTCATTTAACTCAGTACGGTAAAACTCAAAATACATGTGTGAAATGCAACAATATAAAACCCTATGCCTCTACCAATAGTTCACTACTGAACTCCAATTTTCCCTCCTGCACCTACAACTCTACCTACCCTAGGTGTCCGTTCCCTGACGGCACTCCAGGCGTGCGAGTGATACCATTCACCGCCAAGATTGGCAACCATTAACACCTATCGACCCCTAGTGGGCCACGCACGCACACGAGTTTCAATCATTTTCGTCACCAACAGTGGCGACCATCATTCACCTATCGACCCCCTATCAGGCCACACACACACACTCTAATCCTTCTCTCCCGTCACCATCATCGGCGACCGTTAGCCATCTCACGACCTATACCAGGCTACTCACACACACCCAATTTTCATTCACTTGCGTCACCAACATCGGAGACCGTTACCCATCTCTCGACCTATACCAGGCCACTCACACACACTCTGATCATTCCTTCTCGTCATCGATATCGGTGACCACTAACCATCTCTCGACCTATACCAGGCCACGCACGCACACCATTTTTATTCACTTGCGTCACCAACCTCGGCAACCATCGTCTACCTGTCGACCCCCATCGGCCATACACACACACACTACTCCTTCTTGTCCACTGTCTCTCTCTCCGCCCACTGCCTGCAACATGTCCTAATTGGCCCCACTCACCCCGTCCTTCTTCCCCCAAGGCTCCAGCTACCCCACTCCATCCCCCAAGCATCTCACTCACCCGGTGGATCCTTCCCTTCTCCAACATTCACTCCCTGCCTCTCCCTAACTCTCTCTCGGGCTACAACCTCCTGCCACACCATCACGCCACACCATCCTTCTCACCTCACTCACCCCGCGGATTCTTCCCTTCCCCAGCGTTCACCCACTGCCTCTCCCTATCTCTCTCTCTCTGTCTCCCTCTCGGGCTACAACCTCCTGCCACACCATCACGCCATACCATCCTTCTCACCTCACTCACCCCGCGGATTCTTCCCTTCCCCAGCGTTTCCCCACGGCCTCTACCTATCTCTCTCTCAGACTACGTCCTCACACCACAACATCTCCCTATCTCCTTTCGCGTTGCTCACACAGTCCGCTATCTCCCACACCGTTTTCCTGCCCGTACC